AAAATCCGTGTTTTAGCCTACTCGCGAGTAGCAAATTTCAAAATATTTTCCAAACAAACGGATATGCGATGCTTCGTTCCAAATTAGGCGATCTAGTCTATACTTGTTTTGCTGTGCGCATCACATAGTAATTCTAGCTAATTAACCGGAATAAGAACACATAACGTTTTCAAAATTGGATATCATGGTTAGTAGAGGCCGATCTTCGGATCGGGCGAGAGGGGGTGCTCATAGCTGACCTTCCCTAATCGTACCCAAGTTCCCGAGCCGAGGCAACTTTGGTAATGACGGACACGTGACCTTAGGCAAACGAGTCACGGTTTCCTAAATTCCCCTATTAAAAAATATTTAGGTGGCGACTCTGTATCTGGCAAAGCAGTCCATGTTTGGCACTTCTTTTCTAAAAATTTGTTTTCTCAAAACGATTTGCCGAATTTGGACTCTTTGGTTCAGACTAAGAACCATGACACAAAAGGGAGTCCGAACTGTGGTGGCATAAGGCCCGAGGGCGCGTCCACACACAGCTACTTGTGGAAGAAATTGGTCTATCAACACTTGGGCCGACCGAGAGACGGCGGCAAAACACCTCCAACCTGTCTATAAAGCTTGCAAGCTCACACCCCAAGACTAGTTATGCCGATATGTATTTATGGAGCGATGATCTGTAAACATGAGGAATAAGGGCTTTATGATCAGTATAGCACAATGGAAGATATAGCTACGCAATCATGAAAATCATCAAGGCTCACCAATACCCAACACTCAGGGCACAGTTGTAGCGCCCTCAACAAAAAGGGAGGACGTAAATTCCCAACTCCCTAAAACCATGACTACGTCCTCCGATTCTACGTTGAAGGTCTCGGGGAGTAACCAAACAAGTGATCTATCTCGATCACAGCGCTTAGACGCAAGGAAGAATGCCCCCAAGGGAGCCTGGTACATACTGTAGCAATATTGCAACTCTCTCAAACCTAAATCTAAGCTTGGCATATTGTTCGGAGCAAGTATTGCGTTTACGATTTTGAAAAAGTTTGTGGTCAACAGAAAATGAGAGACTCCATAATGTGGAAGAATCTTGCAAAGACAGAGGCAAAGGGGAAACCTAACCCTGCCATTCGCTATAGAGGAAACTAGCCAAGGGACGTTATCATCACTAGGGAATAATAAATTTCCATTCGGACGAGGGGACTCTACATTCACGCTAGCAAGAATATTGCAAGTAGATCAAAAATGGGTTATGCCCTCTGGACTACTAAGTAAATACACATACGTCCCTATCTCAACATAAATCTATGGTAAACCTAGGGCAATAAAGAAGAAGGCACAAGATAACTTACGATTTAAGGAGGTAAATGATTTGAACAACAGAATGAGGGATCAGGTGTCAGCATTAGACGAACCTTTGATTGAAACGGTTGTAGAGGCAAACAATCCCGAATATCAATAATAATGATTTGAGCAAAGGGAGAGTAAATGGCGCTCTCTTCTGACACGTATGTCGCTTCATCTGAATAAGCATGCCTTCGCATTTAATATCTAATGCTGATAGATGTTTCAAAATGTCGACACATGTCTAGGTGACATCAACATGTTAAAGGCCAAAAAAAAAAACCTAACCCCAGGAATGGAACATCAACAAGATGTGGTGTCGATCTCTTGCATTGGGCAAGGAACGGATCCATGAGGATCCTCTCATGAAACCTGTTCTAGGGACAGCACATCGGCAAGATGTGGTGCCAATCTCTTGCTTTGGGCAAGGAACGGATCCATGAGGATCCTCTCATGAAACCTATCCCAGGGATAGTACATCAGCAAGATGTGGTGCTGATCTCTTGCTTTGGGCAAGGAACGGATCCATGAGGATTCTCTCATGAAACCTATCCCAAGGATAGTACGTCGGCAAGATGTTGCGCCGATCTCTTGCTTTAGGCAAGGAACGGATCCGTGAGGATCCTCTCATGAAACCTATCCCAAGGATAATACATCGGCAAGATGCCGCGCCGTTCTCTTACTTTGGGCAAGGTATGGATCCATGAGGATCCTCTCATGACACCTATCCCAGGGATAGTACATCGGATTAGAAAGAAATCGATCTCTTATACTGATCCCTGCAAGCTATTCCTAAGATATATCAGTCGTTGATATTGAAGATCTATTGCTTGAAACATAAAACAAAAACATAAAATATTCATACTAAAAAATTCACACGACATTCAAATAATCCGCCAAAAGAATTAACACCCAAGAAAAAGAAACCTAACTTTTTCATCCAAACGGGTCCACAGATTTATAAAAAGAAATTCTGATAAATAGTCTAAAAAAAAATTATATAGTCATGATCACTCCGTCGAAGTATCTCCATCTCTAGCTCCCGCTCCTTCAACAGCATCATTTTGATGTTCGGCAGTCTCAAGGCATGGATAAGGCACATTCTTCTTCAAATCAGAGTCCACTAGGACATTCTCCACCTCGAGTGCCGATGTCCAGCTGTCTTCGAACAACATATTCTCAAGCTTGGCAAACTGCACTTCATAGATGGCGGTGGCCTCATTGCACCCCTCATCTTTTGCCGCTTTGATTGCACGCACAAAGCTGTCCTTTGAAGTAGCCAGAGCATTGGCAAGTTCAAAGAGCCGATCTCTTGTTCTAAAGATTTTAGCATTAAATCCATGGCTTGAAGCTTTTTCTCAGCCTTTGGCGCCTTCCCCTCTGTATCTACTGCTCGAAGCTCCAACTCTTTGATCTTTTCAACCTGCTGATCATTGGACGTCATCATCTTATCCGTGGCCCTAATCAGTCTATTATGGCACACCATGGCCTCATAAGTAAAGAACAAACCCTATTTAAAAACAAAATTTGTTTCAAAAAGTAGAGAAGAAACAAAAGAGCAGAAGTATTGGGAGTTATTTTTTTCCGCTCGAGTGTCTATTCTTGCACTCGAGCAGAGATTGCGGATCTGTTTTCTATAAATATGTGGTTCTATCAGATTTTAGGGTTACGACTTCCAGATCTTCTTCTTGGGTACTAAAGTTTTCATCTGGAGCTTCTTTGCCTATTTCCTTTGATATCTGTGAGAGTTTAGTCATGAATTGAGTGGATTATATCAAAGAGTTTTGTTTGCTTTATTTATTCAATACAAAAGAGATAGTTGTTTTTTGGTGGATTACGAGGAATTCGGACCTGAAGTTTTGGTAGATTCTAGAGTGGCTCATCATCGTGATTCGACATCGACATTGTGGATTCAATGTTGAGCAAGACAATTTCGATGTGAAGACGGGGCTGGAAGAGACACATAGGGGTCAGTTCAATTCGGGTGTGGATTCGGTAGGTAATTGTGAGTACACTTGTATAATTCGTTTATATCTTCTTAATGGATCGTTTTGTGGCTTTGGCCCATAGTTTTTTTTATCACAATCGGAGGCGCTCCAATTGTGATTTTTCCACGTAAAATCGTTATGTCAATTTGCCTTTGATTGTTTGATTGAGATTGCTATTTACTAGTTAAAATTGATACATAATCACAAATAAATATCTAAGAGTTTTTAGATTTTTCAGTTCATGTCCGAACGACTTTCAGGAAATCCACCCGGACGTCCTTCCGAACAACCATGGATGTAAAAAAATATGACAAAAATTTTAATTTTAACATTGGAGTAAATAGTATCAAATCAAAATTTTCATCAAATTTTTATTTAAATTCGATGAAATTTTTTATTCAACGTTGGAGATGGTCTTAGGGGGCGTTTGGGGTTTAATTTATTTCTTGCTTTTTTGTTTTTTTGCTTATTTTGTTAGTTTTTTCATAATGTGTTTGGTAAGTGCTTATTTAGAAGTTTTTTTTTTTTTAAAATTAATAAAATATGATGTCCGATCATATATTTGTGTAGCAAAATTCTTATTTTACCCTAATGGCTATGGGTAAAATTTTCCATTTTACCTTCATGGCTGTGGGTAATGCGGTCATTTTATATTTTTGACAATATTGCTTATTTAGAAACCTCATTTTTTTTAATATTCTAAAAAATCAAGCTATTTATATAAATAATTCACTTTTCACACTATTTATTAAACTAACTCATTTTTTAAAAAATGCAACTTCATAGTGAAATCACATCAAAGATGCAATTTCACATTGATATAACCCATTAGTGTATAGATGTTGGTCATGTCAATATAAAATCGCATGTTTAAAATGCGATTTCACCATAAAATCGTATTTTGAAATTACAATTTTAAAAAATGCGTTAGTTTGATAAAAAATTTGGAAAGTTGGTTATTTCCATAACTAATTTAATTTTTGAAACATTCAAAAAAAAAAAAAAAAAACTCCAAACGCATTTTACACCATTTATTTTTGCTTTTTAACTTTTCACTTTTTTTTTAAAATAAACAAATAAGTTGATAACTGGACCGTGTGGGCCAGCTAAGAAATATTTGGACCATGTGGGGCAGCTAAGAAATATTTTACGTGGATTGTTCAATCAGTGCTTCTTTTTAGCTTTTATAATTAGTATTTTTTTAATCAACTTTTTAAGTGCCTGCTACTCATTGACCAAAAAATAAAAAATAAAATAAAAATTAGGCTTTGCATATGTTTAATTCCTGTGTTTGGCGAGTGAGTTTCAGGTTATTTTTGACTATTTTAGTCACAAAAAATAAAATAGGCTATTTTAGCCATAACAAATAAAACATCACATCCAACCCATAATCATTACATTCTTCTCTCACAAAAAAACTCAAAAAAACCAAAAAGTCAAAAAGTCCTTCCCAAATCAAGTTTTTAAGCCCAGGCTAAAATAGTCAAAAAAGCAAAAAAGCCAACCCACTTCCCACACCAAGCCCATGTTCATTGGAAGGCAATGACAGAACTGCTTATAGAGACACATTCATCACTTTCGTTACAACTCATAGCTTTGTTTGTTTGTCTGTCTGTATCTAACATAAAAACTTAGGCTCTGCATAGGATGAAGTGTCGTGTGTGTGTATTGGAAGGTAGCTTATATATATATATATGAGTGATAGTAATGCTTATATGGTCACATTGGTCACAAAGTTTTTGGCAAGGAAAAAATGAGTGACTTGCATGATTATAAGCCTGCAATGGTTATGTTTGGGCTGCAGGTTATGTATGCAGGGGTTTCTTTAACAACCAGAGCTGCTCTTTTGCAAGGAATGAGCCCTAGGGTTTTTGTGGCCTATAGGCAAGCCATAGCTACCCTAGTCATTGCTCCAATAGCTTATTTCACAAGGTTGGTTCTCTCTCTCTCTCTCTCTCTCTCTCTCTCTCATGCATCATAAATAGAAAATGTTCCACAGTTTTTATAAAATTTTCAAGGTATTGGGTCTGGATCATAAATTTAGATAGAAATTCAAAAATAAAAATAAAAAATAAAAAAATGGAAGAAAATGAGATTAATATAAATTAAATTTTTTCTCCACTTCCCTTACCTTTTTCTAAGTCCCAATTCAAATTCATTATCCAAAGTGTAAGTCTAAAAATACAAAAACAAAACACAGAAAAAAACATGGATGTATGAACAGGATTTTTGAAGATTGGTCAGTGGAGCGAGCGCACTCTTTGAAATCTCATCCATCAATATATTTTATGTTTCTAATTTTGTATTTGATTTCTATATTTCTAACAAATTTTTAAATAAAAATATTAGGGCAAATTACAAACACCCCTCGAGATTTGGTAAAAATATAGATTTCCCCCTGAGATTTGAGAAATTACAAATTGCACTTTGAAGGTCAAATTTACATAGTAAATTAGGGGGAAATCTGTATGAAAATAAAAACCTCATGGGATAATTTGTTATGGAAATATAAACCTCAGCGGCGAGATGTAATTTTTCAAACCTCAGGGAAGAATCTGTATTTTTACCAAATCTCGAGAGGGTATTTGTAATTTGCCCAAAATATTAGAATATGCATGATATTAATAATATGATCTTATATCAAATAATATTGATCGATATATTAATTAATAACCATATCAGAAATTTAAAATACCATTACATAACAAATGATATGATACATAATTTTTCACATTTAAAACTCTCATTTCTAAATTATCCACCTTGTGGTGTTGTTTGGCAAGTTAGTTTGTGGCTAAAATAGTCACAAAAGACAAAATATGCTATTTTAGCCTCAACAAACAGAACATCACATCGAACCCATAATCATTACACTTTTCTCTTCAAAAAAATCAAAAAAATCAAAAAGTTAAAAAATCCTTCTCAAATCAAACTTTTTAACCCACACTAAAATAATTAAAAAAATCAAAAAATTAAAAAGTTAACCTACTTCTCAAACGGAGGCTACACTCTTTTAAGAGTGTATAGTATAATATTACTCATGTTTGATATCTGTGCAAAGAGTAGACTTCTTTTTTTAACTGAAAGGGTAGACTTCTTTGATCATGTATATTTGTGCTACTGTTGCAACTTGCAGGAAGAAGAGGAATAGCAAATGTTTGGAATGGAGGAGCTTCTGGTGGATATTTTTCACCACTCTTATTGGGTAAAACTTCCTTCTGAATTTTATGTTAGGTTTTTTTTGTTGTGGATGATAAAGGTTTCTTAATTATTTATTTACGTTGTCATTTTTTTTAAAAAAAAACAGTGTAACAATCTATCAGAATATATTTTCTGAGGGTCTATACCTTGCCACGTCGTCCATGGGAAGTGCATTGGGTAATCTAGTCCCCGCCGTCACCTTCGTAATCGCATCAATCACTGGGTAATTCTACAATAAAACTAACGCTTTAGATATTAAATATTTTTTATATATATAAAGACAAATTATAACAGTAATTTTTATATTTTATTTATTGTATTATTTTTTTTATATATTTTTAATTAGTTTAATTTTAATCTTTAATTTTAAATTTTATGTCATTCTAATCTAAATTGTTACTATTTATTAAAGAAAATTATCACTAAATTAGTTGAATTTAATTTACTAAGACAATAGATTTATAGTTTTGCCCTTGAAATATGATACGTGATATTTGTGTGCATATTTGTCATAAAAAAATATTGAAAGTTGTAACTACTTTAATTAAATTGAGATAAAATCATAAATTTAAAATCAAAATCGAACTAATTAAAATTATAGAGATTAAAATAACATAATGATCAAAATATAAGAACTATCATTATAATTGTACTATGTATAAATATATAAATTTTTTATACTAATTATTTTACCACTAGACACATAAGTGGTGTGACCCACATTATAAATATGTGTGGTATTCATTACTTTGTGTTTAGATGAAAAAAATAAATAAATAAAATAAAATAAATTCGGATTTCAATTGGACGATCCAACTCAGCTCACTGTGCGTCTATTTTGAGTCCATTTTGGCAGTTCGAACGGTTGTTCTCGTACGACTTGTTAAGTACATTTTTTATATCAAAAATTAAATTGATTGGATATTAGAAAAAAATTAATCAAATGACATTTTTTTAAAAAAATAATTAACGGACAATATAATTTTAAAAATAGTGTGTCATGTTTTTTTTTTTTAAACAAATGAGATCCAATTAAGTAACTGTTGAAATCTAATCAAATTAATTTTTAGTAGTATGATCTGCTCGAAAATTTTTATAATATAAATAACTTGAATCAAAATGAGTCTCATTGTGGATCCCATTAAATAATTAATTTATGGCAATTGATAATAATGAAAATTGAATTCATTTTCATTTTCATCCTGATTATGCCAACACCTTCCTCACACGATCAGATCATGCAATAAATGAAAGGAATCGATCATCTTATTCTCTAAATAACAATGATTGAGATTTTTTTTTTTTTTTAATCTCTACAATTCTCTTTGAATCTCAACCATTGATGTTTGTATTGAATCTCACACATGCATCAATAATTGAGATCCAAAGAGGATTATGGGTGTCTCCAAAAAAAGGGATCCCAAGCATTTTTGTTTTCTATATCTCTTCACACTTCATTTTGTTGGCCCCATCACAATAATAATTTAAATCGTTCATTCTTTAAACATAATTTCATTGAATATCGACAAATAAATGAACAAATCACATTTTGTATTATAAAAGTATGATTGATGTTCAAGCTTATAGTTGCAGTTCATTTTTAAAAATAAAATATAATTTGTTCATGTGTTTAGTAATGTTCGATAAAATTAATTTTTTGCACAAACAATCTTTGCTACAATATTTAATAAATGAACGATTGAAATCATTATTGTAAGGCCAATCCAGAACTTACAATATAAAGTATGAAAATATATGGAGGGTAGTAGTGTGGAAGGAAGCCATTTCTATAAATGAAGGGGAAGCATCATTTCAGTATGGTTCCGTTTGTTTTTCTCCATCACAGTTTAAAGTGGAGTGTAGATGATGAACAATGACCCCACCCTCATGTTTGTTTTGGTTTTAGATCTCTAGATTCGTAATCCCCTTATTGGTTAAATTCATGAGGTGGTCACACAAAAAGTATAAAATTAATGAAGGAGTAATGTTAGAGACCCCAAATATTCTATCAAAAGTTTTACCAAATGTCTTACATGGTGTGTGACTCACACAATGTGGGTCCCATGTGGGTCCCACACCCATGTGAAATATTTGATAAAATTTTTGGTAGAATTTTTAGGATCTCTAGCATTTTTTGTTAATGAAAAGTGCGTTTTGTTTACACTGTGGGAACAAATCCCCATGTGGGGTGACCCATTTGTGTGAAATAAATTTGTAAGTTTTTATTCATAAATTTGGTATGTCTTTATTATGAGGTGGTTTGGGTACATTGTAAAATGTTAATTTTTTAGTTTTTTAATTTTTTTAGTTAAAAAAGTCACAAAAAATAAGTTTTTTTAATACAAAAAAAATTAAAAAATTAATTTTTTTACCAACTTCTCAAAATATCACTTTATGAATTTGTCTCACACCATTCAAAAAAAAGTTGCCTCATGTTTTAATAGCTTTTTCTTTTTATATTTTGCCGCGTCCAAAACAGTAATAAAGGTCAAAATTCTTGCAACAAAAACATAAAATTTCAATAAATTACTTCGATTGTTCCTATAATTTTTCTTTTTATGTTTTCCTGACGTTTGAACCAACCAGATTGGAAAAGGTAGATATGCGTAGCGTAAGAAGTATGGCGAAGATCATAGGAACAGTCTTGTGTGTAAGTGGAGCTGTGTCCATGGCATTTCTGAGAGGACCAAAGCTACTAAACACACAATTCCTACCATCGAAGTCTCTTTTCGCCTCAGAAGGAGGTGATGATTGGTTGCTGGGTTGTCTATTTCTCTTTGCTGGCTGTTGCTGCTGGTCAGTTTGGCTCATTTTGCAGGTACTCTACTCTCAAAATGCTCTTTAATTTCATATATTTACACTGCTGAATTTCTTATTTTATTTTATTTTATTTTTTGTGTTTGCTGCGGGAAATTATAGAATGTTTCCGGAGTACACGTGTCCATACTCCTTATCCAATCATCATTCAATATGTCTCTTTATATTTCCTAATCTCCCAACACAAGACCTCACCTATCCACATTTTTCATCAATTATAATATTATGGAATACCATGTAATTATATTCGCAAATTATTGAATAATTATCCGTCGGCTACATGTCAGAAATTTTAATTTTGTCACAGCATGACACCGGTAAATGGGGCATTGAAATTCCTGAGGTTGCAAAATGTTTTGTGACATAAAAGTTTCCCTAGCTAATTTTTTGCGACAGCAAATTCTAGTTTTAGCCACAGCAAAATGCTGATAGGATTTTTTTTTGTTGCAAAAAAATTCATTGCTTTCTTTGATTTAGAGTTTTCAAAAAAAAAAATTTATGTTTTGAATTCGTATTTTTTATTTTTTAGGGAATATTTTTAATATTTTAACTAATTTTTCATTTTTTAAATTCACTTAATCTAAATACATTTAAAAGTACAAACTTTTTTAAAAGAAAGTTCACCAAATACAAAAAATATAAATAAAAAAATAGTACATATTTTTAATACTTTTTTGTATTTATCGAATTTTTTTTTTTTTTAAAGATTTCTTTACAATTATTTTACTTTTTAAGCAAATTTAGATTAAGTGCATCTAAAAATTTATATTAAAAAAATGACTAAAATATTTTTTAAAAAAATCACTACAAATAACAAAATACGAGAATAAAAAAACTCAAAATTTCAAAAATTTCTTTGAGATTGCAAACACCATCACAAAAGTCGCTACAAATAATTTTTTGCATCTCAAATAATGAGCTTATTGTGGCGACATTACATACCGCCGCAAATACTTTGACATAAAAATGTGTTTTCTTCTCTTTGTTTTTTTCTTAGTCTAGTAGTGATAATTGTGATCATAATAAAAGAATTCAACAATTTCCAACAGGTCCCACTCAAAATGCTCTTTAATTTCATATATTTACACTGCTGAATTTCTTATTTTATTTTTTCCGGAGTGTCCATACTCCTTATCCAATCATCATTCAATATCTCTTTTCATATTCCCCAATCTCCCAACACAATATCCCACATATCCACATTTTTCACCAGTCACAATACCATGGAATAGCACATGCATGTTTATATTTTAGAATTACTAAATAATTTCCCGTTGGCTACATGTCAGAAATTTTAATTTTGCCACAGCATGACACCGGTAAATGGGGAATTGAAATTCCTGGGGTTGCAAAATGTTTTTGTGACATAAAAGTTTCCCTAGCTAATTTTTTGCGACAGCAAATTCTAGTTTTAGCCACAGCAAAATGTTGATAGGATTATTTTTTTGTTGCAAAAAAATTCTTCGCTTTCTTTGATTTAGAGTTTTCAAAAATTATTTTTATGTTTTGAATTCGTATTTTTTATTTTTTAAATTCACTTAATCTAAATACATATAAAAGTACAAACTTTTTAAAAAAGAAAGTTCACTAAATACAAAAAATATATATAAAAAAAATAGTACATTTTTTTAATGCTTTTTTGTATTTATCGATTTTTTTTTTTTAAAGATTTCTTTACAATTATTTTACTTTTTAAGCAAATTTAGATTAAGTGCATCTAAAAATTTATATTTAAAAAAAATGACTAAAATATTTTTTAAAAAAATCACTACAAATAACAAAATACGAGAATAAAAAAAACTCAAAATTTTAAAAATTTCTTTGAGATTGCAAACACCATCACAAAAGTTGCTACAAATAATTTTTTGCATCTCAAATAATGAGCTTATTGTGGCGACATTACACACCGCCGCAAATACTTTGACATAAAAATGTGTTTTCTTCTCTTTGTTTTTTTCTTAGTCTAGTAGTGATAATTGTGATCATAATAAAAGAATTCAACAATTTCCAACAGGTCCCACTGTCAAGATGCTATCCAGACCACTTATCGTTAACGGCATGGATGTGTTTCATAGCAATGTTACAATCCGCAGCAGTTGCCTTGTTCTTCGACAGAGACCTTCAAGCTTGGAATTTACAGTCAAATCTTCAACTTTCATGTTGTTTCTTTACAGTAAGTAGTTGTTCTGTCTATATATGAGTTCTTTTCAAATTATCAATTAATTTATCAATTTAAAGATCCTATTATACACACAAATAGAAGTTACAAATACTTACTTAGTCTATGTATATGTTTTTTTCCAAATTATAATAAGTAAATAAATAAATAGTGGATGGAGAAGAAGGGGGAAGAGGAAAGACAGTGCGACTCTTAACACTATAGAGTCTGAAAGGGGATAGAGACGTATGAAATCTTCCCCTCACATGTGGAGAGACTATTTTTTTGTTTCAAGCCCATGACTACTAGACAACATTAAATAGAAGTATCGGTGTGAGTCATTAAAATATCGAGCAATACCTATCGGGAATCAGATGTTGTGGTAGTAAATTTTTTAAGAACATCATTAGCAAAAAAAATATAAATAAATAAAAATAAAATTGTATAATGGTTGAATTGGCGTATTACCTGTGAATCAACTAGAAACTTGTACATACCAGAAACCACTTAATATACGTATTTTTCATTCCCACCAATATACCAAGGTGTATTAGTATCGAAATTCCAATGATTAAAATCACATGCCCAGTTCACAATGAAGCAATCTTATTACTGTGACAGCCTTTTTTAAAAAATTATTCAATAGTTTATTCAATTATTAGACTAACAAATTGAAGTTACAAAAACAGGGAATATCATCAGCAATCTCCTTCTTTGGCCAAGCCTGGTGCATTTCACATAGAGGTCCACTCTTCTCTGCAATGTTCAACCCTCTATCCACAGTTATAGTCACTATCTTTGCTTCTATACTTCTACATGAAGAGATCTATAGTGGAAGGTAATAATACTATCTCAATGTCCTCTATGATTATTTTTGTAGGTTCATTACCACAACACCCATTTAATTATTAAGCAATATTACTTTACACTCATGATCTATGAACTTGTACATATTGAACCTTCTCAACTGTGAAAAACATAAAAATACATTCCTCTTAGATGTGGTCTGGAGGGGTAAAAGTGTCATAAATGAGGAAGGACAAAGTGATATTAGCTAATAATTGAGGGGCATTGGTGTAATTAATCTTATATTTTTCTAACGAAAGTTACAAAATTGATTTTGGTTCTATTAATATAGCTTGGTTGGAGCTGTTGCTGTGGTTATTGGATTGTATACTGTGCTATGGGGCAAAGCCAAAGATCTTGAAGAATTCCACGTGGAAGCAGATCCAAAGCCACAAAATGATCAAACAACCGTGAAAATCATTGTGGATCAAATTGATTTGGAGGAACCACTTTTGTCTGATAAAATCAACAGAAGTTGATGGAAAATCAGATGGATCAATAAAATGTTTACAATTTCACTCAAAGGTGAAATGCGGCAGATCAAGATTTCAGATTTTGTTTTTGTTTTTGTTTCCTTTTATTGTTTTGAGTTAGGAACAAAACAAGATCTCCCTGGCAGAAATTGTACTTTGTTTGGCGCGACCATAATTTTTTATCGCCATGTATTTCTCAAGGTTTTTTTTTTTTTTTTAATTAACTTATTTTTTGACATAATATGATCAAAGTTAATTTGACTCACTACTAAAATCACGGGTTCCTCTGTCAATTGGCCAATTTCAGACATTTGCCACACAAATCAGAGATAAGATTCTGTTTCTAAGCTTTACTGAAATAAAGACAGTTATAATTTTCAGAATTTCAAATTTCAGTTTGTTAATACAGAGAGGAAACCAAAGATGTAAGGTCATGTTTGTTTGGACGGACTGGATTAGCATTCTCATGACTAATAGTTCTAAGACTACGAATTCGTTGGATTATGTATCCTATCTTAACTAATAGTCAAGTTTAAAATAATTAATCCGTACTTCAATTGTTTAACCAAACATCGGATTAATAATTTTATTGGACCAATCCCAAGCTCATGTCCATCCAAACAAACATGCCCTAAAGGAAATGGGCTAGGGTTAAAACACTTATGTTGTGTTTGGTTGAGAGATTTGAGAAAGAATTTGGAAAGGAAAATGAAAAAGGTAGGTGAAATGTAAATAAAATATACCTACATTTTACTGAGTTTCAGACGCTTTTTTCCTTTCTCTTTCCAAATCCCCCAATCAAACACAGCATTAAGGCTGAAAACTATTCAACAACGTTATTCGGAGATCAGTAACCAAAGAAACCTTGATAAGATTATGTATCAGTATTTGGAGATCAAAAAGCTGATACAATGTGTTGGCTGATATTTAAAACCTTGACTAGAAGTATGAACGAAACAAAACTATGACCAAGCAACTCAAAAAATGTACTCTGTTTAGTGCATTATGAGCCATGTGACAATAGAAAGGACTAAAGGAAACCAGCTAAGCTGCCTAAAGATGATTCCATGCTCTGAAATCATTGAATTCAGAAACTTCCAAGAGCCTCCCAAATAGAGCTTACTAGCTGATCTTATAAACATTTAACAATAATAAACAATTGTTTGGACAAGAAAGAGTATGATACTAATTCATTACAGGTCTTATTTTTTATTTATGAACTGTCAAATGATACAAGTTGTGTAGCAATCAAAACGTCCACTAAATGACGTATTAACAACAATAAAACAGAACATAACCAAATACGATCAAGTTGTAATGGCAAAATACGGATAGTAGCTAAATCTGACGATGAGGAATGAGGAACATACATACAGCTTTGTTATAATAACTTCAGGCTTTCGTTGTGCAGGTTAGTATTACATTAAGCTCACGAGCTTTAGTCCAAATGCATTAAAAAATCTAAAGCTTACGAATTTCGGTTTGCTAAGCATAGACCAAACCAAAGATGTGAAGGAAACAGGAAACTGAAGAAACAATAAAGCTATGGAAGTTACTTATGGTGAAACAGTTTATTAAAGAGTGATTCGGGAGATATTCCTGTTTGTGAAAATTTCAGCACATCTAATCACTGGTGAAACATAAACAAGGGGTTTAACGGGTAAACTAATTGAATTTAACACTGTAAATCAAGTTAGGCAGGTAAAAATGGGCACTACAATATCTGAAACTCTAGAGCAAATGTCAAGTGAAAAAAAAATAATAAAACAAACAAACAAACAAACTGCACTTCACAATGAACCAAACAAGAACAAATGTATCGACAAAAAAAAAAATTAAAAAAAAAAAGGTGAACACTTTTCGGATAGCAATACAATAGTATTCAACACCAACTCAAAGTTTCATTTGAAGTTGAGTAACAAACAAGATTTTCAATAGTATTGGCAAGGGATTGTTTCATTATATGTACTACTAAAATATTACAAAAGAAAATTATAAATAAAAAAATAAATAGTGTAATACACAAAGTGGTTCTAAGCATGCTTGACAGTTTGAGCAATAGATGAATAAGTCCCCACAATTCCAACTAAGACTGCCATAAATATTATTCCCACAATACCAACTAGCTCATACCCCAAGTTTCTATAGACCCCAAATATTTTTAAGTAAAAAGGCATGGGAGCAAGAAGGAAACAGAAACAATGAGAAACGCTCCACTGAGGGACGTTACAGACTTGAAAGAGGGAAATAACACAGCCAAAATCACCGTGCTTATAGTAAAACCAATCTGATTAGCATACCAATAGGCTTATTATGTTGATAGTTTGCTGGCAAGCAGTTTTCTATGGCAGTGGCAACTGGCGTTATGGTCAAAGAGTATTTGGCAATTGGGCCGGCCAATATGGTGTATATTGCTACTTTTGAGCTGAGCTTTTCTTGAGGCAAGTTCAATGTTACCTGAGACTGAACAGTCTGACCATATATTAGATAACCCAATATGGCCATGGACACATACGTGATGGTGCAAATGATAAAACTTAGAAATAGGACCTGCAATCAGAAGCAATGAAGTGTAATAATTAGTCATATCTATGGCGGGTTCTAACATTAAGTTTGCTCCATACCTATACATATAAAAAAAGTTCTAATATTTGATCTAGTTACAATAAAATTAACAACAGCAACACTATGAACCCATAAGAAATAGATAGAAAAATGAAATGTGCATCTGAGACTTATTTTGGGTGTAGCCCACACCATACCAAATTTGAATATTGACTATAGTCTTCATTTTTGTGCACTTTTTATTGTTTGTAACTATTTCGAATCAACAACACGCAATAACAGTAGCAGCATAATTACGTAGAGATATTTCGCTTAAAGGTGCATAAGGAGGAAACTTCCAGTAACTGTGACATCAAGTACCAAAATGAGTCTAACTAAGTTTCCAAACATACCTTGGAAAACTGGCTTTTCTTTCTCATTGAACTATATATAGTAGGGAACATGGCATGAGCACCATAGCAAAATGTATACAAACTAAGCGCAGTGGGTATTCCTTTCAAATTCACAAGGCTTCCTTTTCCATGAAATCCAACCCCTTTTGTCGTGCCAACGCAGAAAACACACACAATAATAATAAGAGAACACATCACTCCCCCAAATGAAATATACGATAAAACACCCAAATCAGTAAGATCATAACCCCTGCAATAATAACAAATGAATGCTTCCCATCTAATTTGAGACCTCCAAACTTTAAGGCAAAGTTTGGGGCCAACTTGTGTAAATTGTCACCTTCTAGTATTAGAAGGCCTGTGGCCACAAGGTAGAGCTCTAAACAGATGAAAATTGAAGCTGTGATTCTTCCTTTTCTACCAAAGGCAATGGCAGCTATGTCAGGGTAGCTTGTGATTGATGGGTCTGAATCCATGCAACGTCGGATTAGAAGCGCAGTGAAGCATGCCGAAGCAGCAATTAAGAGGAGGAGGATTAAGCTTAACCAGCCTCCTGATGAGAGTGCATATGGGACTGATAGAATGCCAATACCTAATCAACCAAAACGATGAAAATGTTAGACAATATATTAGCCCTGTTTGGTAGAGCTGTGGGAAAGTGCTTATAGCTTATGCCTAAACAGCTTATAGCTTATAACTTTCAGCTTAAGCTGATTTCCAGCTTATTCTTAAAGCATCTCCTGCCCCACTCAAAGAATAAGCTGATTTCTGACTTCCACAAAGCTATAAGCTATAAGCTATAAGTTAAACCAAACACATCAAAATAGCTTAAATTAAGCTGAAAGCTAAAATAAGCTGTAAATAATTTCTGCCAAACAGGCACATTATGGCAAATGATTTACAAAATTGTTGTGTGTGTGTATGCGCGCATAAATTCCAATCCAGAATGACAATGCGACATAAGCATAACCAGAGTATATGGTACACACACACCTTTTAATTGACGTGTATCATCGAACTGGCAATGAAATTCAACAATAAATATTGTTTTTATAAAATGGACTATTCTTACAGTCGATGCTAATATTTAAAGTATCACATTTGGTGTGAACACGTCATTATGAAGTTAATGTTGGAAATGGTAGAAAAATTCTGGGTAAAACCAGAATTTTTTCTCAAGTTTGGTCTATTTTTTAGGTGGGCCTCGAGTGTCGATTTACTCGGGTCAAAGTGGTAACGCGTTCTATGCCGCATTGTGATTCACGTGGTATATTTGGTTGCTCAAAACCATTACCGAGTGAATGGGAAATTGAAGCCAAAGTGTGCTCCATGGAAATGGAGTTTTGGTGGAAATTCCTTAAGGTTGTAAATTGGCTTGTCCCACATTGATTTGGTGGGAAGTTTTGAAAGGGTTTATAAGGCTTGGGTGAGATACTTGGGGTGTGCCCCAAGGGGTACCCAAGTGTTTTAGAGGGAGAGGTTATGGGCAAAATGGGCTAGACCCATTGGACCCAAAAATCACCACACGCGCGCCGCCGTTCTTTCTTTTTATCTTTTTAACACAAAAATAAGAATTTTATTAGAAAGATAAAATAATACATTACAAGAAGGGGGAAATCTCTACCCAATAACAACATAGGCAAACTACAGCAGTAGTCCCTTTACTTTGGCCCTTGTGTTAGTTTGGTTGTTATAATTTTAATTGACTCGATTTTGACCTTGAATTTTTCACTCCGTCTCAATTTGGTCTAATTGATTACAACTATAAGCATTGTTCTATGAAAAATGCATACGTGAATGGCATGTGTCATATTTTTATGGTCAAAACTATAAACTTGACTAATTTATTGAGTTAATCTCAACCAATTCACTGATTATTTTTAGGAAAAAACTGTAATGGCATTGTCAATTTAACCAAATTGACACCAAAACTTAAAATTAAGAGTCAAAATTTAGTCAATTAAAACCAAAATGACACAAAACTGAAATATAGGAACTATTGATATAATTTGCCTAACAACATTAACCAAACTAAAAAAAATTAAAAAACACTGGTGACAACCCTCTCAAAGACCATCACCCCATAATCATTCAAGCCTTTTATCAAACACCTAAAATATATACTCCACAATTAATTGCATCAAAAAAAAAAAAAACACAATGAAATTAAAAAAGAATCATGATTCAGAGCTCTAATCAGAGCTTCACTGACGTGGCAGGAAGCAAAAACAATAAAATGAAAAAAAAACAAGATTTGTGCATCACATCAACAGTGGGTTAGGTTTACTGCCAACTCATTAGAGCTGTGATTGGAGCTCCATAATAAGTGCTTTAAAACATTTTCCTTAACAAAAACCCAAATAGCACCAGTATCAGACCCAAATAGCAATTCCCCAAAAATACCCATTACCAGTTTCATATCCCAAAAAATCCATTAGTTATAACTATCACAAACACAGCTTTGATGCATTAGTAGTTCCAAAAGAGAATTGGAGATGGGTAGTGTACCAGATAAAGCATTGATGCCATTAATGCAGGTTTTGAGAAAGCTGACTTCATTATTTGTTGAAGATGTAATGGCCATTCTCTATTTGTGTATATATATGCGCTTACACATGCAGTGATGATATACTGAAGGAAGAAGAACCAGTACAAGTACCTAGCAATGAATTTTATATGAGAACCCAGTTTGATGAGATTTAGTCGGAACAAAGCACTTCTTCTGCCCCCACCTTAGCCCCTGCATTCGGACCCTCCAGTAACTACCAGACGGAGAGGGGAGAGAGAGAGAGAGGGAGAGGGAGAGAGAGAGAGAGAGAATTCATGCTTAAATATCGACGTAATCAAATAAAATTTTCACCTCAGCGAAAGGGTGGGAGTTAGAAAAAAAAAAAATATATTATCAATATATGAAATGCATAATCTTTCATTTGTACTCTATTACAGATATATTCTCATATATTTGTAATTTTTTTTCCTTCTCTCATGTATGGGAGGGAGTTCCCCATTTATCCTAATGTGTCCTACAACCATGAAAAAATCATGTGGAAATTTATAAATGCCCTCAACTTTGCTCCTTATTTCTTGTTTGTTCACTGAATTTTATATATCTTTCATTTTAACCCTAAAATATTTGAAATGAAACAATCCGTCCATTTTTGGTTCAAAAATCATAAAAGTGATAGAAGAGTACAAAAACAGAAAATAATTAAAAGTGTTTCAAGACATGTTCTAATGTCGCTTTTTCTTAAGACTATAACCAAATCAGAATCAAAATTACAGAGAAAAAAAACAATTCAATTTCACTATTTTAGTATAAAAAATTTGTCATTGTTACACATCCCAATTTGGAGTGTGTACCACATGTTCCAATTATGATATTTGTAATTATTAATTATAACTTATTATGGTGTTACTTATGACTTTGTTATAACTCATTATGATATTGTTTATAATTTATTGTGATTATTATCTATATATATTAAGAAAAATTGGATTTCTAACTCACAAGGCCTCCAAGAGCTCCAATATCTCAATATTAATTATCTAATTTTTGAATTTGTAGGAAAAATAAGAAATAATACACAACGAAAATAAACGGATTCAAGCATACCTTTTACGCTCACACCGAATCCATAGATTATGTGGGTGAATCACGTGCCTATATTGATACTTTCGAATAATTCCCAGCAGTGAGGTAGAACTACTAGAGAACTATCTACACTATTCACAGTACAAAAGCATGATGGTTCTCCTATGGTAGAGAGCTAAAGAGAAAAACTTTTTCTAAAAAAACTATTCGGTTAAAACCCATATCACGTAATATGTACAGAGGCAAGAGATGTAACCACCCACAACTTTATCTCTTCAAAAAATGAGATTATAGGTTATTCGCCCTTATCCCCAGGATAAGGTGGTTCGAAATTCAAACTTATAAGGTCACTACATGGGTCATAGGTCATGCCACCATGGGTGTCCAAACCAAGATCCGACACTCGACCTGATTTCCAACAGAATTAACAAAAATAAAAAAAAAAAACCTCCCACCTACAGTCACATCTTATTTCGAATTTTCAAATTAGCCATTTTACTAATAAACCCTAAACCCTAAATTTCCTAAACCTAACTTTTTCATTTTCCATTGATTTTTTTCTTTTCACCCCCACAGTTGCATCTTATTTTTTTTATTCTCACCTCCAAAGCCTCAATATTCAATTGAACAATCGACTCTTATTTTCCTGTAAGTAATCTTCAATTAACTTTATTGCTTTTCTTCTCATTGATTCTTTTAGTGCTTGCTTTTCTTTTCATTACTGTTTTTTCATTGATCAGTTCTTTTCATTGATTGATCACGGTTCTTTTCATTGCTCGTATAACTGAATTTGTATATTATAACTAAAAATCTACATACAAATCTATAAACTCTTAATTTCAATTGTTAATCTAACATACAGATTACTCTTACCCTTTCTAAGACTCTAATTATCACCGTAACTCTAATACATATTTGTCACGACCCAAATCCGCCCCTATAGGTTTAGCGTCGTGACCAGCCAGTAATCTGAGATTACCAAAGGCCTTTCTGTACAATCAAAAATAATCGAGGCTAGCAGAAGCATTATACAAAAATACCAATGGTTTAATGAGCTATACATCTATATGAACAAACATGTACACATATAAACGTTAATTTACCCATATAACAATACATAACTTACAACATAATATCTTATACAAAACATATACACGTGCCAAAAGTATATATCATGTTCAAAAGCTTGACAACGGCCTTCGAGGCCCAGTCCCAATGCGGAGGCACACAAAACAACTTGGTAGGCTTCAAAACGGTAGCTCAGCTAAAGACTCCTCCTAGACTTGTCCTCCAGAACACTCGCCTATACATAATATAAACAGTGAGCTAAAGCCTAGTAAATAACATTAAAGTAAAGAGGTTAGTGAATGAATTCCAAATCATATCATATACAGAAAACCGATCATGCATAGCTATCAAATCAATTTTATATCAGAACATAATAATGGCACATCAAAAGGAACATGTCATAACGTCTTCTGACTAGAGTAATCGGTCCCCGAACACCGATTAAACACATATCACCACAATGAAGTGGCTAACGAGATCTCATAATCACATGCATGTCATGGACTTGCGCTAACGTGTGGTCTCCCATGACTTGGGACTATCCTTAGGTGCCATACTAGATTCGCAAACCGGATATTCGTTCACAAAATCAAAATCATATTTTAGAAACGTATCATATCATATAGCATGTCGTACAACATTTCAAGTATAGCACATATCAACATATGTTTACAGAAATGTTACTCACAGTGGGCTCCCTGTAGTGGTTGGTCGGTCCTGACTCGTGACCTATAATGACAATGCACATAACACAACACATATTTTATTATTACACATTTGACTTGCCTTTTGATTCTTACATCATTACCATTCGTTTCATATTCGTCTGGTTATTCCTCTTATTTCTTTAATATTTCTCATGCTTATGATATGCATATGGATGTGTATTACACGTGAAAACCATGTAAATAAAGTTTCGGAAGTCAAAAAAACAGAAAGAAAACAAAATCGGAAAAATTGCCTTGTTGGGCCGCACGTGCGGTGGTCTTGGCCGCACGAGCGGATGAACTTCATAATCGAATTTTTTCCAAAATAAGGTTGGCCGCTCGAGCGATCTGGGTACATTTTCAGTTTGAAATCTGCTTTGAAAAGAAACTTAATCTTTTGCAAAATCAACTTCAAGTTCATGAAAATCAAGACCCAAAACTCATGAAAACATGGTGCATGATCAATTGCTAGCTTCAAACAAAATCATAGTTTCAAATCAAACTAAATTTCCATGTAGAACAAAGCAAACACTTGAATTGAAATGTAAATCCTCAAAACTTGCATTCTTGAGTTACAAAATCACAACTCCCATGGAGTTTCCTTTCCATTTGAAAATTGATGCAAGAAAACAAATGATTAAGCATGAAAATGCCATGGATGATTACAATTCCTCTCTTTAAACTCATGTTAGTTCTAAACAATAATTTACACTACTCAACTCTTTAATTCCACTTAGCTTCAAGAGATTAGAGATGGATTCTCACCTTAGATGGTTGATTTGGAAAAAATTTGGCTTAATTCCCCCTTTAATCTTCTTCTTTATCTTCCTTCTTCTAGTCTCTAGAACTCTCTCAATAACTCCCTCTCAGATTTTTATTTTTGTTGAGTCTAACACTAAGGCTCATATATATATATATATATATATAATTGTCTAAAGGATGAGCCAAACATAACTTAGCGAACCAGACAAAATCAATTTTCAATTAAACTTTCCAAATGGCACTAAAAATTTTCATTAGCATATCCATGTACTTCATTCCGTTTTCTAAACCCATTAAGGTCGTCAATTTTAGTTCCAATGTCGTAACTCCAACAGATATTTTTTCAATTCAGACAGATATTCTCAAATTAATTCATATTAACGCATAATTAAATAAAGATAAATGTGACACACATTTTGGGGCCGTTACAATCTCCCCACCTTAAAAAGTTTGGCCTTCCAAACTTATCCTACCCTGTAACAAGATCAGAAATCCCGATCTCATATCATTATTCAATTCTGTCACAAATGGTCAATTCATTCATCCGTTACACGACAGTTTACAGTTCTATTCGGTTATGCAATTCAAAGATCCATTTCAGTCATTCAGAATTCTATATTACCTTTATATCTCTACCCCATAACAGTGAAAATAGTAGCAGTTAAGCACATAATGCACATATATTTCACATTTCCCACAAAATCAATTGTAAGATAAGAGAAGACTGAAGCAGTCAATCGACGAATGTCTAAAAGTAATATACGTCCAAATAACTGAGGTTTCAACCCTAAGGCCATTGTTAACAAGTCTGATAACAGTGAATTCAAAGTTAGTAACATAAATGTAACCATTCCATGAACAATCAATAGCAAAGGTAATACCAAGGCATCAACTAAAGGTTCCATTCCAAACACAGTTTTGTGTTAAAGATCACAATCAATTCATTAGATAGGCATTCAACAGTTCTTACATAAGCCCCATATGCAGATATACAAACTCACAATTATGCATAATATCAAGTATGTTGTTTGAGGTATTCAAGTGGGTTCCCTCATCACAAAATCATGGTCTTGAGAATTTAATTCAGAGGGTCACATATCATAACAAATCACTCCGAGGAAAGACACATACATCTACGACTCCAGATTCAATTATCACATAAGCATTTGGTTATAAATTCGTAAATAGTAGTGTTCAATAACAAATGTTCATTTTTCGATAATCAGCATAGGTTTCCAATACCGAAAGTTCTATACGTTGAATAATTCAAGGTATATCATGTAAGGTCAAAGTTCTAATCATTCAGTGAGTTCCCAACTGTATATTCAATCAAAGAGCATATAAGGTCACATTAATGTTCACATAAATATTTTTGCATAAAATTAAGGTAATACTTGCATCAGCTGTCTCAATATTCTAAGTCTTTTCTGACACTAGGGTATAAACCCTTCCTTGCCTCAAAGTGCTCCCCTCAGGGAGTAGATTTTGTGGTTGTTCTTGGTGTCATTGTTGATTTCACCCCAC